TCAACATATGCAACAGTAGTCACAATCATACCAGATCATTGTCACTCATCAGTGAGCACATTATCATCAAGCAATCATGATATTTGCAGGTAAATAAGCTAAAAATTATTTCTAAATAATGAATGTCATTTTTAAGAAATTAATATATTTTAATACTATCAAAATAATTATTGGACAAAGAAATTCTTAATGTATAATGTACATACGACATACTTTTTCCTCTTATCACAGAATATGTCATTGTGAAGGTGAAGAAGGTGCTCCTCTTTTAGCACCTTGTTATTGCAGTGGTAGTTTACGCTATGTACATCAGACTTGCCTTCAACAATGGATAAAAGCTTCAGACACGCGTGCTTGTGAATTATGTAAATTCACATTTATTATGCATGCTAAAACAAAACCATTTTGTGAGGTATTATTTCCCTATATTCGTATTTATTTCTCTTCTGTTTTTTTAAAGCAATATTATAGTTTGCCATTTAATAATTTAATGTACCTCAAAAAAATAATATATAACATTATTTAATAATTTTAGTGGGAAAAACTTGAAATGTCTGCCCTAGAAGTTCGTAAATTATGGTGTGCAGTTGCTTTTCACGCAGTAGCTGCACTTTGCGTGGCTTGGTCTTTATATGTACTCGTCGAACGATCTGTGGAAGAAGCTCGACGTGGATACGTAGACTGGTCTTTCTGGACTAAATTAATTGTTGTCGTAATTGGGTCTACAGGAGGTTTAGTTTTTATGTACATTCAGTGCAAAGCATACATTACACTATGCAAAAAGTGGCGAGCATTTAACAGGTAAGAAGCATAGTCAATAATTGCTTTCCTTTAGCTGTGAATCATATTATATCACAATAATATGTTTTAGAGTAATATTTATTCAAAATGCTCCTGAGAAAGTGGTGCTTCCTCCCTCACCTACAGACTCTTTGAGAGAAGTAACATTGCCTCTAAAAGATCCAACTGCCTCTATGCCTGAGCTCAATCATACCTTATTACCCCGTAACATAGATCCTCCATGTGCCTCGCAGATGGTAAAACCAGATTCTGCCGCGCCTG